AAAAACAAAACCCCCCCCCCCCCCCCCCCCCCTCCAAATCTCACCACGCTCCGCGCGGCAAACGGGGGGCGACGCAAAACGGTCAGCACCGGCCCCCTCAAGAACTTCACCGCCCCGTTCACGGCGGCGGCAGCCATGACCTGCTGGAGCTGCTTGTCGGCGTCGGTGTCGGCGACCGTCTGCCCCCCCGAGGCGAAGGGAGCGATGAAGGAGGCCCACACCATCATCACCGCTCCTTGGACCTGTACGTGCGCGCGCGCACGGGGGGGTGTATGATTTTAGGTCGGGTTCATGGTGGTGGTGGTAGTCACACGAGTCCTAGGTTGGGTTTCGGTGCTTGGTTGTTGGTGTTCTTGTAACGTTGCTATTGGCATTTTACGGAGGCTGTGTAGTATATGAGGGGATCGTTAGAATAGGGACAGGGTCGATTCACACGGTGCTACCTGGGTATTTATACCACCCGAAAGAGCGACATGTGATGGACACACACACACCACGGTAAATACCCCGAATACCCTTCCAGTTTCTTCCCGAGCGTTGGGACTTCAGCCCTGTACTCTATGTTTCGCTTCCTCTTGTACCTTCTTACCGTGCGGTTACGTTATGCGTGACTGTGGAAGCCCACTTGTTTGCATTGCGAACAAGTACGGAACAAGAGGAACCTACCTCAGAAGGGTCAGATTTCTTTTCAAGTCAAGACCCACCAACATCCACACAACAACCGCCCACCAACGGCGTACGGGAGCGGCAGTCGCAAAAGCCAGAACGGCCTTCTAACATCGAAGAACAATACCTTAGTGGGTAACCACTTCCTAACGCAAACCGCACGGGGGTATCATTCTCTCAAGCACCTGTGAGTGGTCCCACTCGCGAGAGCAGATCTCCTTGTTGAGATGCAGGATTACTTCCTTGTCCCCATCACCCAAGGGCTGACCGCCCCCGCCGCCCACGACAAGCGCGAGCGCGTTGAGAGCGTTGCTGCCGTTGTTCTTTGCGCCCGGCACACTCCGGCTGTACAGCGCGTTGTTCTGATGGCAAAACGGGATGGCGGACAGAGACACACAGAAAGATAGACAAAGAGACAGACAGAGCGAGAAACAAAGAGAGAGATAGAGACAGAGAGACAGAGAGGTTGAGACGGGAGAGGTTGAGACTACTGATGATCGAACACCGGTATTGAAGGCGTTCCCTGCAGTCCTCGCTGAAGCTCTACCAGGTGGTATGTCGAAGATCCTTCGTACCAAAAACGTTTCCAGGACTTTTAATGGATGAAGCACGCCAGGGGGGGGGGCGTACTCATTTGTTGCTTGCCGTAGTCATTTGACCATTGACCACGCGTACCTTTCGAGACGGAGCACTCCAGGGGGGGGGAGAGAAACATTCGGCAAAAACACGAGTTCCCTGCAACGGCGATTCACTTCGGAGAAAAGACTGCCGATGGCCTGCAGTTCGAGTTCGACACAAAAAAGGCAAGGTCCGCACTCTCTTGTCTCACAAGGTCCGCTGGCAACGAAAACAACACAAGAAAAAACTCGTTCTAACACACAGACAGCTCGGCAGTTTGTTTCGGCCCGCTGGGGATGAACTGCCCCGCAACGTTTTTCTTCAACCGGCATACTCGAACGGAAACGGGAAACACGCTCCCCAGTAGCACGCGAACCTCCTATGATACAACAAAAATCGTCCGAGACGCCGACGAGCAACAAAAACACACGCAAGGCACACGTACCTGACTTAGCGCCATGGAAAGGGTGCACAGAAGAACGGACGTGACCTCCAGCGCCGCGCAAAGACGGAACACGTCCCGATGCCTCTCGGCCTCATCGCCACCGCCGCCGCCGCCGCCGCCGAAGGCCCCGAAAGACCCCGTTACGCCGGCGGCGGCAGCGGTAGCGCCGGCAGCGGTAGCACCATGGCCGAACCCGTAGCCGGAGAGGCCGTTGGTGTAATGGAGCCCGCCGCCACCAGCGGTAGCGGGGGTGGCGGTGGGTGGGATGCCGTCGGCCTCTGCGACGGTCTTCTGGAGGGCGAGGAGCTCGCGCCCCGCGGTCTCGACGAGGGTCACTAGCTGCTTCGCCTCGTCCGGCTTAATCTTCAGAAAAGGGGGGGGGGGGGGGGGGGTACAGAGAGAGAGGGGGAGAGAGAGAGTGGGTAGAGTTTTAATCTGTTTCGTCTGCGGTAAGGAGGTATGGTTCGGGGGTTGCGGCTCTGAATAGGGTCGGTTGAGCTTACGCTTCCTTGTCAGGCAAAAACACACAGGCGCTTTCCAAACAAACACCGTAGAAAATCTCTACGAGTGTGATCACGTGAAAGTCGATAGAATACAAGGGGTGCTTCGCCCGCCCCCCCTACGAGGGTCGGTCTCGCGCAACACCCGTAGGTAAAAGAATGGAAGCAAGTGTTTGAAGGTACTGCTACTGGTGTAGGTAGATCGAGGATCGAACAGATACTGCTGTTTGCATACACACACGTCTACGGTATAGAGCAAAAGAAACATAGATGCACGTTCGAAGGTTCGAAGTCGGATGTTGAAAGAAGTGCACCGTCACCACTTGATCATGGTGCGGGAAGTTGTTGCACAGTCCCGGGGCACACATCCACACTATATACTATAGATGGCGATTCTGCGTGTGTGTGTGCCAAAGGGTCCGTTCTGTGTGTATGTAGGGCTGATGCTAAGGCACACGGCCTCCGAATCCAGTAAGCTGCGTTTGATTGTTTCTCTTATCATTTTCAGGAAGAGATGTTTCCCCGCTTGGCTCTACAGCAGCAGCAGTGTTGCAGCAGTAGTCCATCACAACGTGCACGGCTTGATGCTTTTATGTACCATCTCGTAAGTTATGTACAGAAGGTAGACATACGAAACGAATGGGCAGTATGTGTTTTGCTGTGCAGGGAGGGTAAAGCTAGACTCACACACGTGTAAGTTGAACTTCGTTCCCAAAAGCATCTCGGATCGACAAAAAGAAAGAACATGTTTCGTTATCTGCTTGGGGACAAAAGTGTCCGTGTCCGTGCGGGAAGCTCTCGTGGCACAGCAGTGCACCGCAGGGCGCGCTACGGGGCGGGGCGCGCTGTGCGTACATGATTCACGTCCGGGAGCCGCAGGAACGAAAGAAAGACTGCGAGTTGTGGGAGGTAGAGACCGCTAGCAGTTGCAAGCGAGGTAGCGACATGCTGCCACATGCCGTGTTGTCAGTTGCTATTCCTCCGTTTTTCGTCATGTATGACCACACTTGATTTTCAGAATAGTATGCCGGCGGTCCAGCGCGGGCAGCTCTTGACACAGCGCACCGCGTGGCGCGAGACTCTCGGGTCGTTCCAGCTACATCTCTTCCCGTTCGGGAGCCGAAAGAATGACAGAGTGACAGGAAATGGTTTAAACGTCGACGCCGAAAAAGAACAGAGAGCAGCACGCGTGAACCGCAACATCATCAAGCCACATACAGAGGTAAACCACCACTGCGGTTCGGAAAGCGTGCTTAAGATCACAATAGCCGGCAGCATCCAGGCCGTCGTTTGTCATGTAAATCACACCAGGAACGCTTGCGCACGGCCGAAGGTCTATTATCCTTTGTCTCCCTCCCTCCCTCCCTCCCTCCCTCCCTGACCGGTCTCCTCTCTTGCCTGGTACGAGTAGTAGATGAAGAACAAGACTTCCACCGCGCAGACAAGCGAGTCCAGCATGAACTCCTCCCGCCGCTCCGCCGCCCCTTCCGACATGCTACCCGCTGCCGCCGCCGCCGCCGCCGCTCCACCGGCCTGTCCAGGCGCCGGTGCCGCCGTGGCCGCCGGGGCCGCACCGAAGAGTCCCGTCGGGGCACCCGCCTGCTGCGTGCGAGAGGAAAGCACAAAACGACAAAGTGTTTACACCAGAAAACCAACAAAGAACACGTCTCGTCGTGCTGCCTGTGTTTTCCTGCCGACATGATGAGAAGCTGACACAGAGCTACAGTATGTACTACAAGACTTGCAACACGCATCGTGCCTTGGGGTCTGCGTGCAAGCGCCCCCTCCTGTATCCGCGGTCTCTTGCCCAACCACCATGAGCCCTAGGCCCATCACCGTTCTCTACTGTCGTGACATTTCACTTGCGTTTGTGTGCCTGTCAAAAGCGTGTGTGCGCGCTTTACAATCCCCCCCCCCCGCGCGCCCCTCTTAAGCACCTTCTCCACCTACAGCAAGTCACCTCCCCCTCTGAGAACTCCCATGATTTTTCTTCAGAAAAGGCGCCCACCAAAGCGGGGAAGTGTCCTCACAATCACGCACACCCCACCCTAGTTCTTACACTTTGCGGAGCACCAGGCTCCTAGAAAACATGGCTTGCTCGAACCTTTCGAAGTTTGGAATAATTTTTGCGTACCCCTCCCCCCCCCCCCTTTGCTCGCCAAAGAGGGGGGAGAGAAAAGCGGAGACCGGTTCAACAAAAATCACACTCCCCCGGTCTCATGGTGTCCTTAAAAGCGGGACGCGACTGCTGTATACCTGAGAGCTGCCCAACATCGCCGCCGTTGAGGAAGGGGACGTGGTTCGGCGTATCCCCTCGGGGCCCAAGAGCTTGGCGACGAAGCTCATGAGGTTGGAGGCTAGGTCCTTCTCGAGGAGGGAGAAGATCTCGCGATCGATCACCGCCTTTTTCGCCGGAGACAGGTCTTCCACCAGTGCCGCCTTGCGGAAACACCACAACCAACAACAAAGACAACGGGAAAATGAAAAAATACTCCAAGAACTAAATGGCAGCGAGAAAAAAAAAAACGAGCAATACTACCAGCTCCCGTCACACCTCTCGCTTCCTTCTAACCAGCGACAAGTTAGGCCAGCTTTGCTCTCGCTTCTTTCCAACTGGCGACAAGGAAGTGGAAATGCGCTAGGGTAGCTTTGCTGCCTCCCCCGACAGAGAAGACACGGCAACAGCCGCAGCCGTACCGACGAAAACATGCATGTCGTGAACAACATCGACCATCGGCGATAACACGGAACACGAAAAGAACAATCAGATCGACACGAATGCGCGCTCGCGAAAAAAAAAAACACACACACATACACTCGTGGTGAAGGTACTCAAACACTATTTTTGGCTTTCTTATCGCGGAAAAGACTACCTCTGCCAGGGTGGCTAGTGCATTCAAGGCTCCTCCTTAGCACGGAACCAGCAAAGCAAGAAACCGCTACAGAATGACGGACCACCTCAGCTCCTTCTCTCCAAATACTCGACAGGTTACTTTTGGAACAGACACAAATCGCGAAAAACATCAATGGTGATGTGGGTCACATACACGACATAAGCGTAGACATCAACCCCCCGACTGTTTTCCAATCTCCGTAGATTCTCCCAACACCGAGTGCGCTATGTACGTCACAAGTGATCACCTTGAACAGCTCCGCCTCGAACATGAGCAGGTTGCGGCGCTCCAGGTAGAAGAGCTTCCGTGCGGCCAGCGGAAGGTCTTCGCTCAGGCTCCCCGCCGGGTCGGACAGCCTTTTCTCCAGCGCCCGCCTCTGCCAAGGCTCGTTCACCTAACACACAAAAGACAGAGACAGACAGAGACAGATAGACACAGACAGGAGAGAGAGGTGAAGGGGGAGACAGACAGACAGACGGAGACAGAGGCACACAGACAGGCAGGTCGACAGGAGGACAGGCAGACAGCCACAGAGAGAGAGAGAGAGAGAGAGAGAGAGAGAGAGAGAGAGAGAGAGAGAGAGAGAGAGAGAGAGAGAGAGAGAGAGAGAGAGAGAGAGAGAGAGAGGGAGGGAGAGGAAGACGGAAACGCTGTGTTGGCACATACTGGACGCCTGCGGAGCCCTAAGATCAAAATCGTGTGCCCACATCCGTTCGCGACACGAACACGCCAGTTGTCATGACATCAAAACGGACGAAGGGCAACTCTCCTTGCTTCGCACCCCTTGCAGTCACTCTTGGCGCAGCCATGCAGGCAGGCGGATATGTGCTACACACCAACACGAGAGACATACGGGGGGCGGGAGGGGATGGCTTGCACCTGCAACCAAAGAGAGTGTAGCACCATATAGGCCCTCTCTGTGTCGGCGATACTTTCAAGTCTCAAGGAATAAAGACAGAATACAATACTAGTGGATTCTTGAATACCTTACCACCGTACCACACACGCTACCTGCTGTTGTGGGATCCATGCGGGCGCACAACCTAATTCAGGCGGGACACGAAATAGCGTTGCTTTCACCTGTGACCACAGGTCCACGCACACCACCTCGTTGATGTCCAGCTCGTCAGATAGCGCCACGAGCTCCGACACGGCTTGCGGTGGAAGCTTCGTATCCACAACGCCAGCAGCAAACCAAAGGGGGCACGATGACGACGACGCCACAAAACGAAACAACACATGTGCCGGAAGAGGGATGGGAAACGGTCCGAGAATACTTTTCATCTCTATTCTTGTGAAACTAAAAGATTACGCGGGGATGCTTGTTCTTCGCGGTGCCAGAAAGAGCCCCAAGACCAACACGTGAACCAAGGAGCAAGACTGGGCGGGGAAACTAGGGATCTAATACAATACTCCATCTGCATTGAGCACACGGGACTACCGAATCACACCAACTAAACGCCTGCAGCCCACGATGTAACTCCTCTTGATGCCGTTGCCTACGCTACCACCAACACATCCCCAATCTCAGCACAACTAGTCTTGCACCTTCGCGCGGAAGCCCTTGACCACCACGCTTCCACTCTGCAGGGCCGCTCGGTCCTCTGGCGTCCTGGGGTGGCACCGGGACGGGTCCGGACAGATGAGGTCATCCCGACGGGCTTCTAGTCCCTCCGAGAGATCTCCGATCATCTCGTTGCCTTCTCTTGATCGGAGGAACTCTTGAAGCATTGCCTGATAAACATTGGTACGTACATACATAGTGCGGAACGTTTTACAGCGGTAGACACATGCAGTGTTGTTGCGAAAAAGCAAAAAGGGGGGCGGGGAGGGTTTAGAAGACAGGAAGAGGCGGACGGTGAAGGGCTCGGGCAAAGTCCAAAGACCGAGACGAGGCTAATCTTTGAACATGTGTGTAGGGCGGTGCAGGCACAAGCATGTATTGGCTGCATGCGGTCGGAGTGTGCACAGCTTTTACATTCGTACAAAAGAGGTGATCACCGATGGTGCAGTCCTCTTGCAAAGGTAAGGATGATATGCTGTAACGCGGCTTGCGGGAAAAGATCTGCCGCTAGATGGTTGACAGCCTGGGGCACTTGTAGTGGGGCACTTGTAGATATCATTCAGACATGCAACATGTGTCTTTGTATATCTGAGAGTTTTGTAGAACATTGTCCTCTCTACATACAGCAGTAGATTCACAGACAAGGCCTCCTCAAAATGCTCGTCCTCTTGTGCCAGCACCCTGCCGTTGCAAGCACTGCCGTTGCAAGACGATCTGGTATGCAGACACCCATGAGATGTACGACAGTACGAGTTCCAAGTACAGTGGGGGGCCCTCTATAGTGCCGGTACGTGCGCAGGGCGTTCACCGGCACTATAGCGGGCACCGGCACAACTGGGAATAGTGCCTCAATAGTGCCAAACGGCACTATTCGGGTGATCGATATCCCTCAGTAGTGCCGGTCTGGCACTACTGAGGCACTGCTGTTTGAGTTCATGGTGTATCGCTTACCATTTGCGAGGCCAACAGAGTAGCATGTGGATCGAGTGTGGTGAATATACTTTGTGGGCGGCAGGGGCAGCCTTTTCTGAGACAAATGTGGGTTCCACTCTGATAGCTGAGTTTGCCGCGAAACCATTCCCGCATGCACGCGCAGAATTCACCTTCGGAGCCAAACCCCGTGTACAGCTCCCGTCCGTGCAACTTAGTATACTTGAAAAAATATCACGTTCCTCGCTGCCTCCCTACGATGTTGCATGATGAGACACGCCAACAAAACCAATAAACGCGCCAGCAACGAAGCGGACAAAAATAAAACAAAACAAAAAGAAAAAAACTGCGGTATAGCTGTCCCCCCCTCACTCATCAACAAACTCTCTCATGTCTGTCTGGCGCACGCCCTTAGCGGCATGCGCCGCGATCATCGTGCCACCAAAGCTATTGTGCTAGCACCACCGCCCGAGTTGAAGCATCTACATAGCAACAGAACATGTTCAAACCTGACCTGGCGATGTCCTGGGGAGTGACGCTGCCCCATGCTTTCTGAAGAAGTTCAGCGGCGTCCCGTAGGTGAGGTTGGTGCCCCTGCGCCAGCCCCATCGTCCCGGCCTTCATCTTACTGGCTTTGGCCTGGGCGCGAAGGGTCTCAGCGACCAACATTGTGGATGCCTTCACGTCGAGCAGCTCCTTCCTGTAGAGGACGTTCGTCTTCGCGATGATCCCCATGTCCATGGGCTGGTGCAGGCTGGTGCAGTTCGGAGGATAGAACTTGATGGTAACTTGCCCACGATCATCAACGAGATCGCCGTGAGAGGAGCAGCCGTCCATCAGGAACAGCACCTTTTCGTGAGTGAAGCGCCGAATGAACGGGAGGAAGACTTCAAGCCACCACTTGAGGAACGTCGCGGAGTCAGACCACGCGTTGGCCTGCGAGAAGTGCTTCAGAGGTGGAGGCGCGTCCGTGAAGCAGCGAGGCACCTTCGACCTCCCGATGATGGCCATGTCCACCTTTGCAGTGCCGTCGGCGTTGCTGCACATGATGGCAGACATCCGATCCTTGAAGTACATGCTCTTGGAGCCCCGCGCCTTCTTGCGGTCCTCCGAGGAGGAAAGATACGTGCGCCTGGGCATAAGCTTCCACTGGATGCCTGTCTCGTCCACGTTGAAGATGAACCTAGCTGGGTACTTCGCGCAAAGGCTCCTGACTTCCTCCATGCCCTTCTCGGTGGCCGCTGGGTCGACACTACCAGCCTCGCCATGAAGTCTCGCACTCAGCACCTTGTTGCGCTTCACGAAGTTCTTGGCCCACTTTTCACCGGCCTTGAAGTCCTCGACCCTCGCCCTCACTGCTGCAGAAGTAGCGGGCTCAGCGAGCAGGGTTGCCACGGTGGAACGGCCGAAGCTTCGAAGTACGTCCCGTGTGACGGGCATCTTGGCCTTCTGGGCTTTATCGAGCAGATCAATATAACTATCTCATCCACCTGCCGGCGAAAAAGAGTATACAATGCAGAGGTTCAAACGACCAACGATTAGTTTCAAACGTAAGCATCTACACTGCGCGGCGCAGATACGAGGGACGACGCCGCGGTACACCGTAAACAAAGCTGATGTTTTTTAAGTGCCACTACACCCGGAAAGAAAAAAATTGCGGGAGGGGAAAGGGAAAGTTGCGAGGAGACGCTCGTACAGGCTACATCTGCTTACATCTGCTTACATCTGCTTGTTTGTTTTGAAAAAAAAGCGGGTGCGAATATGTACACAACAGTGCTCTTTCAATTTCAAGGACAAATAATCGGAAGGTCTATGAGTGTGGACATCGAGGACCTCAAAGGCCAAAGACATAACAAAGAAAGGCAAAGAGAAAGAAAAAAAGGAGGTGACATGAAAAAAAAAAACACCATATGATACATACGAAAAGACGAAAAGGGAAAGGCAAAGAAACAAGGAAGGGCAAAAAAAAAAAAGGTACAGCAGTAGAAATCGGCGACATGAGGGCATTTTTGAAAAATGGCGGGGAAAAACAACGTTCGAGAGGAAATTGCCAGGCATGTGTCGTGTACTCTACCTACCTCCGGAAAGTCTCCTCTGCGTGCGGTTTTCTGGCTTCCGTCGCCTGCAGCTGCCTTAGCCTCCACTTCCTTCCGTTCAGCTTTCACCTTGCGGACCAGCCGTTCCGAGCACTTAAAGCGATCTGCTATCTGCTCATGAGAAATCTTGGCATCCAGCAGCTTGAGGACCTCAACCTTGTCAGCGTTGCTCAGCCGCGCGCGAGAAGCCTTCTTCCCCCCCCCTTTCTCTGTCGGACGTTTAGATGGTTCCGCCCCAGCATCAACCCCAGCTGCGGTCGCTTTGCGCTTGCCAGTCTTAGCAGCGACGCAAGAACTGCAGATGCGGGATGTTTCGAAGTCACCCTCCACGCTGCCGCAAGTGCCATGGAGCCGCCCGCCACATCCTCCCTTGCAGACGTGGCCATGAGGGGGCTTCGGCGTTCTGTTCTGTTGAAGGCACAGTTCACCTTCCGCACACGGCATGGTGCGCCTCTGCGTAGAGCTGTGTTGGACTGCAGCAGCACGGTGTCTGTATTTTGGGAGTGTGGTGGTGTGTGTGCGTGCGTGTGTGAACCGGCACTATTGCGGGCTGACGTGGTGCCCAACCGGCACTATACCAGGCCCGCCCTCAATAGTGCCGTTTGGCACTATTGAGGGCGCTTTCTGTGTGGAGAGATTTT